GCCGCCATTGTTGTTTGATCTTGTTTTTCGTCCTTCAAGTAGAGCAATACTACAGTTAAGTACCCCAGAAGAAAGGCGCCGCAAAGTGGCGCAGTATTGATTGGTTAGCAGTCACAGTAGCACTATGGGTAAACAAGGTTTTAAATCAGAAGCCTGACTCTGACGCATCTCTGCAGGAGGAAGCCCCCCAAAAAAAGCACCAGAGTGCAAAGTCAAAAGTCCAACTCAAGTGAAGACTTTACTGTGGTGGTCAAAAAAGCCAAAATGGAAACTTTTTTTTCCCCCCAAGCACGCCAGAAGGTACATCGGAAAGTCAGTGAGAAAAGTGCTGCAGGTTCTAAAAAAGACACCTTTCAGACTGCCATACTCTCTTATGCATATTTGATTATTCATTTATTGAAAGATGATTGTAATGAATACTGTAATAATACAATACAATTAAAAATAAATATTTTTTTATTACAGGTAGCAGAGGCTGTGTGTTTGCTCTTTGTTGGATGTTTACTTTGACAGTAACAGTGACCGTTGGAACCCACAGTTGATGATAATGTGACGCACCAGCACAACAGAAATATTGAAACTGCTAAAAAGCATCCCATTATACACAGAGCCAAGAGAGAGTCTCACTGAATCCCCCATCACTCCATCACCAGCTCCTCAGGACCCCCCCGATGCCCAAAAAACTCCCCCCCCTGTCCCTCCTCCATCTGCTCTCATCCCAGCTGGATGGACTTTTCGCTGTACTGCAGTGCTCCTCGCCGAGCATCCGGGCGGCATGAGTCACCCACTTGCCTTCTGCTGCCCCCCCCCCCCCAACCCCCCCCTCGCCTCAATTTACCTGGTTTACCTGTCTACTATTCCACTTCCACCCTGCCAAACAATCACTCTTAATGGATGAACGGAAGGCTGCAAGCTATGCTATCCTTTGCAACAGTGGACACACACACTCCTTGACAATGAGCGTGTATTAGTATGCTGCTAGCACACACACAATAGTCCACCGAGGAAAATAACGGATTCCACTTGCATGCTGCGCTGAAAAACTGCAGCTCGATGCAAAAAAAAAAAAAAAAAAACCCACACATGAGAGGGAAATAAGGCGTTCTCTCGGAGAGCAACATCTGCTTGCAGTGAGGCAAAGTTAACCAATAGGTACCAAACAGAACCTTTCACACACACTTTTCTTCGCTTCTACGACTGCAAAATTCATTAGCTGAGTGAAAGACGGCAGTTTTCTATTCCTTCGCCGTGCTTCGTTTGCAAAATGGCCGTGATGTCCTTGAGTCCCCGAGAGGAGACGTCTTTTGCCTCGCTTAAGTCTTATAACGTGACTTAACGCAAAGCTACCAAGCTAGTTAGTGACTAGCAGACGCGCAGTGCTAAGGTCACTGCAGCATTTTTCGGACGGGCCATCTGTCCTCGGCGAGGCGTAAGCCAATTTCTGTGTGGCTCTCATCGGTCAGATTGCAAGATGTGCCGCAGTGGGTGCAGTAGAAGCTTTCAATACAAAGTGATGCACTTATACATCAACAGTGAAGCCACCGGCGGCCATCTTGCTCGCTAAGCCAGCCGAACATTGATCTCTTTCTTCAGTTAGTTTTGTAAACGCAAGACGTCGATTCAGTTAGCATTTTCGCTTTTATTTTATTTCAATAACAAAAATGTTCTTTTAATTTTAGTTATAGTTATTTCATTACTTTAATAACCTTCATTGCAGGTGAGTTTGGATAAGAGAAGCGGGTTAAAAAAAAAAAATCTCCTACACCAATGCTCGAGCAGTGAAAATGCTCTTCTCACATCATGTCTTTACTTAAGAGTGAGAGTGCCCCATTGAAAGCGAATGAGAGGAGCTGCTTGGATTGACATATGAAGTCAAGGTGAACTGTGCACACCCCCACAGTGGCGCAGATAGCCCAACTGCAGTACCGCCGGGCCACGCCCCTCCACACATATCATCACTGAACCCGCCTCTGCGCAGATACAGTTTCCACCGCCAACAGCGCCGCATTTGGCTCCTTCGTGAAATAAGCCAAAGTAAAAGCAAAACTGAGGCCTCATGCTTGAGGACTGAACTCTGATAATTATGATGGAAAAATCATGAAATGACTACCAACAATCGGTGCCTGTTGTTGATGCACAACCTACTTCTGCTGTCGTCTCTAAAGCCGCGCCAGCAAGGTAAAACACCCTGAATGGGGAAGACAAAGCGGCCATGCCATTTGATTAGCCGACATGCAATAAAGCACAAATGAATTTTCGCTATTAATCACTCAATCACTGCTATTAATACGGGCGAAAATGCCGTATTAAGTCAAATGACGTTCACTGGCAATGGAGTAATGAGCCATTCGTGCAGATATGCATCTGATCTCCCTAAGCCTGCCGACGTATTACTTCATCTCTTGACCATCACAGACAGGTCTCCCGTGAGTGCAGTGTGTGTGTGTGTGTGTGTGTGTGTGTGTGTGTGTGTGTGTGTGTGTCTGGATTTTGGATTACAGGGCCATGACAGGAGGTGCAAAGGGCGTCTTTTGCCTAATTGGGGTTCACTAGGCAAATCCATGGATAGATGACAGATGGAATAAAAGCTAGCTAGCCAGCTAGCTAGCTGGATAGCCCGACCGGTGGGCAGATTGCTCGCTAGCAAGATAGACAGACAGATAACCCCAAATAAGAGTGGGGAGTGGGGGATATATTAAAGAGGGGAAGTAAAATCAAGCAACCAAGACAATGTAGTTGCGCAAGTGTGCACACCCTCAATAAACAGGAACGCGGCTGTGTTCAGAATTAACCAATCACATCAAAATGGAAGTCAAACCTGCTATCATTCTAAATGCTCTTTGTCTTTATACTTAACAAGTGCTTTGGGGATTTTTGTATTCCTACTTTATTACTTTTTGAACATTTGTCAGATCATGTTCAAATGTGACTTTCCCTGCACAGTTACTGATTAAGATTTCATACGGCGAATGTGTGACAGGGAATAAAAAGGAAATTGCTGAAACGCAGGGCCTCATACAATTACAGCCTCGTGCGCACACCCACACCCACACCCACACACACACACACGCTCTGGCACATGAATTTTTGAGAAGCGCAGCCAATGGACGACAATAAAACAATCACACTCCAACCACTTGATCTGGGTCCAGTGTGGTGAAATGAGCTGATGACTAATAAATTCACGGGTAATAGCATCTTTTTTCTCACCCTTCTATTGAACAGCTCACATCGTTGAACACTTTCGGTCACGATGTTATGTGCTATTTGGTTTAAATCATCTATACAGTACAAGCCTCTCAGTGAGGAATAAACGACAACACAAATGACTCACAACCAGACAAGAGCGCCAACAAGATCTTAATTGTGGAAATTAAGCTCTGACCTTTGGCAAGTCTCCTCATGGTCGATGTGTTTTTGAACATTGTTGTCACGGAACTGTTGAAATGTTACATAATGACGAGACAAGTTTTGTATGTCAAGAAGAAGCTAAGTTGCGTCTTGAGATTGTTCGTGGCTGTTCCAGACGTTGTGTAAAAGCACACTTGTGGAAATATATATATATATATATTTTTTTTTAATTTAAAGATTAAAAACAAATACTGTAATCTACAAATAGGTGAATCTGTGGTTGTTGAACCGCCAGTGTGTGAAAATCCACTGTACTGTATAGTGTATCTAATAGTTTTGGTGACCTCATTATGGATACAATGAAGGGACAAAAATTAGGTAAACCCTTTTTAAAGTAAAGTGGGTCCTTGACCTTGTTCGAAATACAGTAGTTGCCATCCCCGGGCAATTTTTTTGCCCTTAGATGTGAGAGAGAGTGAGGGTAAAAAAAGAAGGCAATTTCACACCAAGCAGCAGTTTGGAACAATTCTTCAAAATAGATGTCAAGGTGCTTACTTTGAGCTCTTGATTGCCGCTTTAAGTTTAGTGTCAAACTACACATTAAGAATGACATTAACTTTGTTCTTCAGAAGTCCACTAATTGAATACTAACTCAGAAAGAAAAACACCACAGGTCGACGAATGAATTCAGCATCTATGTCACAGAAGTGAGCACAGGGTAATTGAACACAAACGGCGAAGCAACACACGCAGACAGACCATATAGTGATACTCATGGGCATATAAATTCTGAGCATTGCATAATGAATAATTTTACAGCCACATAGTTGCCAATCTTTTTCGTGTATTCTATCTGTGTCCATATTATACTGCCCCGAGTGGCAACGGTCCATCCAGGTGAAGGAAAGCCATTGCATAAAAGAATGAAATCCTGTGACAAAAACAGTTTCATTCTTCATGTTCTATTTAGTAATGTTACTCCTCAGGGATGGCTTCAAGATTTTTTGGTCTCCCGGGGCGAAAGGGGGGGGGGGCCTTGATGCATATATGAGTAAAGACGATCTGCAGTGGATTCCCGACTAATACTATTAATTACTCTGAATACGGGAGGTGTACCAAATTAAGTGTCCCTCGCCCAAAATGCTTAGAGGGCGCTCAGGTCATGTCGTGCCGCAGCTGAGAGGAGAGGATTTCCGGCTAGTCGCACTTAACGATTGCATAACACCCCCATCGTGGAGAGTGAGTGCGTGCGTGTGCACCCTAATAATAATGGAAAAGGAAAAAAAAAAAACGTTAATCGGCTGTTTCAACGCGCCAAGCCCACGTCACGTGACGCAGAATGTCATCTGAAGGGTAGGATGGAAGGCTGATATGTGGTGGAAAGGCTGAAAATTCCGATGCAATAAAACGTTCGAGGTGAGGTGCCGCAGCATCAGCAAAGCCTCCACCCTCTCATACACATCAATAATAAATCAAAATACATTTTTAAATCATAGTAAAAAGAGCGTGACATTCCGCAGGACGTCCTCACTTACCTGAGTGGCTTTGTGGAATTGCTTCTTGAGGCCCGCTACAGACATGCTGGCAGACGAGATGGCTCAGCGTTCACAAATTAATAACAGGAATTGATAATACGGATAATAACGCACGGTGGGGTTGGAGTGTGTGGTGGTGGATGCCGAGCGATACGTCTTCACTTTGCGGGGGTCTCGATGGGCTCTCCTCGGAAACCCGATTGGACCGTGGGAGCATGTGACTACCCGCTGGGTGACGTCAGAGACAGCAACTCCGCCCCTTCCTAACAGGACTCCTGCAAAGAATCAGTTGGCAGAGACAGGTCTCGTTTAAAACAGTGATTGAATCCAAAGAAATTAAAACATTTTTATTGCGACATTGACATCAAAAGACACGAGTAATTAGTTGACTCTTAATGGTGGGATAATTAGACGTAGGTGGTGGTGTGAACAGCTAATCTCCTGGTTTTAAATCCTAGATTAACGCATATATACTACGAGTCACGTGATTCGTTGTCATGAGTTTCATGCAGTTGGAGAGACTGTAGGGCGAGGGGGACACGACTTCCGGTGTGCCTGTACACTTACGGTATAGGGCGATGTAGTAAAGTGTGTTTAAAGCGCGCGTGCGCGCACACACACACACATACATGTATTGACACACACTGTATTTAAAAAAAAAATGCTCAGCTGTGAGTGACCTTTAATCCATTTCGTTGTTGTAAGTATGCATGTGTGAGTACAATCCTGCATCATCTAGTTTTCAACGAGGTACTGTAGATCGGTCTAGTGTGCGAGCACTGCCATCTTGTGGAAAGTGAGAAAGCATGCAAGTAAAAAAAAAAAATAATAAAAAGAGGCTCGCGAATAATGGCACCTTTTTAGCTTCTGCAACATTGAAGTATAACTACAGGGTCACTTGTAACTTGATTTTATTTTTTTCTGTTTAATAAAACTCAAAAAAGCTGACCTGTTTAAAACGTGACATTTGTACTGTCCAATCTATCTAAATAATTCATATTGAAATATGAGGCAACAATCAGATGAAAATGTGTTTTTTCTGACTTCAAAAAAAAAAAATAATAAAAAGAGGCTCGCGAATAATGGCACCTTTTTAGCTTCTGCAACATTGAAGTATAACTACAGGGTCACTTGTAACTGTCTTTGATTTTTTTCTGTATAATAAAACTCAAAAAAGCTGATCTGTTTAAAACGTGACATTTGTACTGTCCAATCGATCTAAATAATTCATATTGAAATATGATGCAACAATCAGATGAAAATGTGTTTTTTCTGACTTCCAAATTATAACCACAGAATGCCAATGATTCTGAAATATGGCAGCCGATCTTCCTTTCCAATTGAACATGATCGAGCTCTGCCCTCTAGTGGAGACAAAGCTGCACTCACACTCCTACCAGTGACTTAACGGGACTTTCGCCATTTTAATTAGTTCCAACTGGGAAGCTGGAAAAAAAAACACCATTTTTGGGGGGGTTACGTGTTTTTCTATATGTATATATATATATATATACACACACACACACACACACACACACACACACCGGTACACATATCAATATATTTGTATTTTTAAACCACATTACCAACTCGAGCATGGCCCTCCGTTCAAACATGCTAATGTACCTGAGCTCTGCTCTAATTGGTCCCAGTGATGCTGGCCTGCTCCACCTGTGCTCATAGGGTGAGGGCGAGGTGTGTTCGAGGTTGCCTGCAGTGCAGGGCCGCCTACCGGGCGTTCATATTATGCATACAAACACGTCTTTGTATCGGCCACTGGAACTCAAGGCAGAGAGAGAACAAGAATTAAAAGAGAAAAAAAAAGAAGGATGTTACTCTCTTGACTTAATTAGCGAGATCACCTGAGATGGGCTACACTTTCGGGGGTGTTACGTTGGTCTACACACTGCGGAGACATCATGCAGCACTGATAATAAGCGTGCGAGAAGATCTTGAAGGTGGAGAAGGTGATTGCAGGGGCACGCATGTTGTCAGTGCCAGAAAAAGGTGGTCAACGAGTTCAAAGGCTTCTCATTTATTGGGTCCAGAGAGACTCCTCATCATTATTGATGTATACAGTGAAACTGAGTGATTTATATGTTGTATATTGAAAACGACAAAGGTAAGTCTTTCCGTCTGGTAGCAGGACTGCATAGAACTGTAGTGGGATTCATAATTGCCAAAATGAACTCTTTATTCACTTGCATGTCTTACACTGACCCCATGTGGCGAAGACAGGAACACCAGAAAGACCGACACAATGGGCATTCAATTGATTGTTTTTTTACTAGGTCGCCGTGATATAAACTTGGATGGGAAGGACCAAAAAATGGCCCTTCGTGCCCCTCCTCTCCTCCCGAAACAAACACAGGGTGTTCTGGCTTCACAATTAGTCGTTTGCAGTGGAGTCTCTCTGGTGACTGCTTCGCTGACACACTTCTCTGTGCTGCCAACGTCCCACTTTGATATCGGCCGCCGCAGACGTTTGGCACCCGCTTTGTAGATAACAAGCGAACCCGGGACATGCAGCCAAATGCATTTTTGACACATGTATAATGCAGCGTGTTTACTCCTTTTGCATTGTGCCTATAACCTCCATGTCTGCACCACGAGGGAAGAAAGCGTCCTTCTCAAAGGATGGATGGAAGTTTTACCATCTCGCCTCACCCATAACATTCACTTCACCTTCGCGTTGCCCCGTGCACATCCCCATTGACGTTCACTTCACTTAGAAGCCCAACAAGACCCTGTGTGCCTATGAAGGAAAATGCCCTAGCATACATGAAAAGTTGTCACTTTGTGTCGACATAAAAAACAGGATTACAGAGGATGGCATTTAATAATATTCAACAAAAAATAGGCTGTGCTAAGATACTTTCAGTGTTGCGTTTCCTTTCAAAATTTCAGGCTCAAACTAAATAGTGCGCCACCATCAAGTGATCAACAGCGGAATTACACACAACCTCACCAAAATGAAGTCAATAACTGCATTTAAACCGATCTTCGAAACGATGGCCCTTTGAAGATTACTTTTCAACACATCAGTGCCGTACGCTAAGCAACATGACCAAATGAACTGGATAATTGTGATCAAATTGGCGATCGGCCTTCGCATGCATGTCAACACGCCAAAATGGAAAAACTCTTGACAGACGGTCTTCTTACGGCAAAACTCCATTCCAATTTTCGAATGGCAGCGCTATAGTTGGCCACGATCGGCCATTCCTGGAAAGTAGTTGCTTTCGTAGATACGGTGTGGCAAAAGTATTTGTACAGCTTTGTGAAAAATGAAACAAAATCTCTAATGCTCTGTGGTTATAGTAGCTTATTTCTTGTGTCTGGTGTCCAGGCAGTCCTTTTCTGGTACTTCCCTGCGGATGTCTGAAGCCTTGCCCCATGGTGGCTGTCTCTCTAAAGCCTCAGTCTGAGCTCCTGGGGAGGAAGGGGTGGGAGTGGGGGGGCGGGGGGGATGCGAATGAAGGACCGGCTGACCCGCTTGCTAATCCACCTCCTCTTACAGTTTGCCGTTGTCGACATCACCTTTGAGACGAGCAGCTCTGCGACTACCACAAGGCTCTTGTGTCGATGTGACTACATAGGGATAGTGTAAGGAATGTGTGAAAGCACTGAGGGGGAAGACCGGACTAGAATGCTGCAGCGGCAGGGCAAACCCATTATTTTGGTCACATCATGAAGTCTCTTTACAAAAAACGGGTGCAATTTCAACAACAGTATGAATTCGTTTTTCATTTACACGTGCAACTTATTAGATCACAGTGGATCTATAAATGTGGAAAACTACCTGTTAAGCAATACAAATCATTTTGAATTGACACAAATTATCCACATCTCTCCGGAAATCTTGACAGGCAACGAGCAAGGCATGAATTCTGCATAAAAAGACAACTAACGCTGCCGCTTACTGAGCAGTTTTGACCGTCTTCTTTTATAGAGCATATGCAGTTATTTATTGTACTGCCCCCTGCTGGTCAAGGCAGACACAACAGAAGGAGCAGCACAATGTCTATTGAATTAAAGCGTGAGGTCCCGATACATTTTAAGAATGTTGCCCTTTACGTTTTTACAATGTTGTCAATTGCAATTTGGTTTTTACACGTTAAGACTTTTTTGTTGGTGTTTTATGGAGGGCTGGAACAGATGAATAGGATTTTAAGCGGGAAAGACGATTTGACCTTGAAGATCTCCTGAGAGAGAGAGAGCGAGAGACCCCAGAAAGTTGGGAGAAAGTTAAAAAAAAAAAACAAAACGAGACACAGAGACATGGGGATAAGAGGAGGGGAAATGACACCGAGTTGACTGTGCTGGAATGAATAAACAGGCAAGCGAAAGTCTGCATTTGGAAGAAGCGATCAAAGTCATTCCCAGCGGACGCCTCCCTCTTAATGAGAGCAGAACAAGGAAAGACAAGTGGAAGATGAGGAGAATGAAACGTGGGGAAGAAAGAGAATGGCACGCCATTCCGACACTTGGAAAGAAAAAAAAAAAAGACGTCTGGAGTGGGACATTGGTGTGTGTGCGTGTGTTCAAGATGGTTTTAACGTCTTCACTGTGGGAGCATGAGAGGCAAGGCCAGGTTAATTAAACCCGAGGGGTCGCAGCTAAAGGGGCTAAGCAGGGTGGGTGGGGGCGCATTTGAATATGTCACAGAAATAGAATAGCTTTGTGGGGGCACAAACATGTTGACTGCGCAAAAGGAAGAAGGGGCTGCAAGTTATTAATGTTTGTCATTAGCGACGCTGGAGGGCAGCGACAAAAGGGAGGGAGGCGGGGGGTGGTCATACGCACATACCCACACGTACACAAAAACAGGCAGAAATGTATATGGGACAAATATTGACAATAGCTGGCTCGTGGGTATTGGAGCGGAGGAGATGCAAACTATGTTAATGAATGGTAATTAACCACCAGGGCTCATCTCTCCTGGATCTTGGCTAAATTGGTCCCCGAGATGCAGCCCGAGACAGTCCTGGCCTAATCCTTTATTATAAAAAGATAAAGGAAAACGACATCATTAGCATATACTTGAGAAGGGAGGAGGGTGGTGGCAGTGGTGGTGAGGGGATTAAAAAGTAGATTTTTTTTTCTTTAAATTCTTCAACGGAGGTTTCTTTGCACAGTTAATTATACATAATATCGAGAGAGAGAGAGAGAGAAAGAGAAGGGAAAATAAAAAGGCGAGGATATGAATTAAAAAGAAAAATGTGTGGTCTCCGGTGGAGGACGCCGGCTCAAGGACAGCAGAGAGCCGCGTTGCACCTCAAACATGAATAAGAAGCAAGGCGGACGTAAAGGTGTCAAGGATGGAACCGCTCCCGCTCCCATGTTCGTGATGTCAACAGTGAGGGGGGTCGCCGCCCACCCGGTCAGCTGTCAATCATGAGGAATGAGGAGCGGGACCTTCGCCGCCCACAGAATTGAACCCCTCGCAGACGGCCGATGATCCTTGAACTCAGACACATTTTCGCAACAAGATAACAGGTGTATTTTGTAGGTTTGGGATACGACAAAATTAATCCAATCACCCTGCAATCGAAAAACATTATTTTACTATTATTTACAATTCCGACATTGTCAAAGTCTGAACTTGGCATTCGTCGGGTCAAGGTCCTGCCCCTTAAAGTCCATAAGATGCCAAATTAGGGGAAAAAGAACATTATTTTCTCACCACTGGTTCTTTGTTGAGTTCGGGGCTAAAAGGCGTTTCTGGAAACACAGATGTTGAGGGGGCTCATTACAAAGGCTCGGCGTGCAGTGGGTCTGAGGCCCAGCTCGGTCGAGTTCCCACCGAGTCGGGGTGATGGTGGAGGGGAGGTAAGTTTGGGGGTTGGGGCGAAAAAGAAGAGGATGACAGTTTTCCCAACCTCAGCCCGGGGAGTCAGGCTTTTTCGCTGACTGCGGCTGCTGTTGCCAGCGTGGCCAGTTCTTCTGTCAGCACTTTCCTCTCCTTCATCTTCACACGCAAAGCCTCCATTAGCTGGCCAGCAGAGGGGATCTGCGGGGTGGGTGGGGGAGTAGGGGGGCACAGGGGTGTCAGGGTGATGGCAGAAGAAGGGGTGAGAGAAAAGGAAGAAGAAAAAAAAACACGTGAGTACCTTTCATCAGTTCAACGTCTGCACCTACATTGATTTTGGTTCCCAACAGTGGGAAAAATATGTTCATGTTCATTTCAAAAGATGCTTGATGGAGTCCAGTGTCAGCTCAACTCATCCAAGAACACCTTCCAGGGCCTTTCCTTGTTCTTGTTGACAAAAATGATTATTTACTAGGGAATTATGTATCTTTGTTCCTCTATCTATGCCAGTGTATTGACAGGGATCACAATTAAAAGCTCTTCCACTCAATAATGGTACACGGCAGAGGCATGGGCGAATATTTAGCAACTTTCTGCAAGTGTTACAACCCTTTAAGAAAAGTACACAGTCAATATAACAAGTAAATGGGCATATTTTCTTGATCCTCTGTGAAGAACAACTAATAGAAGTTGAGACTGTATTGATGTAAAGTATATCTGTCTCATCCTGACAGCCAAGGTGCACATGGAATGAGCATTGAAAGAGAAATTGAGACAAAAACAGTTTGTCCTGATTATATGCTGTTGTTATGATGCCAAGTGTATCATTGAAAATATCGAGTGCAATTTTTCAACCATCCATCCATTTTCTGAACCGCTTTATCCTCACAAGGGTTGCGGGCATACTGGAGCCTTTCCCAGCTGTATTCGAGCAGTTGGCAGGGGACACCCTGAACCGGTTGCCAGCCAATCGCAGGGCACACAGAAACGAACAACCATTCGCGCTCACACTCACACCTAGGGACAATTTAGCATGTTCAATGAACCTGCCAGGCATATTTTGGAACGTGGGAGGAAACCGGAGTACCCGGAGAAAACCCACGCAGACACGGGTAGAACATGCAAACTCCACACAGCACGTGCCAGAGCTGGAATCGAACCCTGGACCTTTGCGCTGTGAGGCTGATGTGCTAACCAGTCGAAACCCATTGCTATTTTTCCGATTGAAAAAAAAAATCTGCGGAAGACTCAGACAGATCAATGCTGATGTGCTAACCAGTCGAACACCCATTGCTATTTTTCTGATTGAAAAAAAAAAATCTGCGGAAGACTCAGACAGATCAATGGGGACAGATGATTTGAGATCTGACTCAAGCGTTTTCTGCCCTGTGTCCAAATCAAATCAAACATAAAATGTGGCCCCTTCATATTCCAACAAGCAGTCTCCATATCTTCAAGACACCTGATGGCTGAGGTGAGCTTCAAAACCAACGTGACATCAATCGGCAC